TCTACCACAGAATTTACTACAAAAAAAGTGAAAATGGGAGAAATGTAATGCCAGGTACTTTATACAACGATATTCCCAATGTCAATAAAATTATGCTTTTGCATTGTAGTACCAACAGGAATCATTTCATAAAAAAACCAAGAGAATTTGGTAGCTATGTTCAGTATCATTTACTTTTACTCATAAAATAAAGCCAAACTCTATTTACTAGCAGATGTTTTCACTTCCAATATATAATAAACCTTTGAAATTAATTAAAAATAAAATTCTAGCAGCATCTGTTTAACATGCACAAATAATAAATAGTTGCTCACCAGACCCTATAAATAAAATACCCCAAACAAATCACTTACTACTAAATTGCCATTAGGGTCCATTAACTCACTTAGCCAACTAACATGAAAATGTCTTAAAATCATCCACTGTTCAAAATACTTTTGAAATACCTTTTTCATTAACATTTCTTAGCTTATGCCTCCTTTCAGAGTTAGAATTAAGCAGAAGTGAATTAGGGAGTAGAATCGTCATCATGAATATTCAGAATGAATCATGGAACATTTTCACTAAAATGCAGTTTTTATTCCTTTGTAATACAGTGCATGCAATATTTTGTTGCAATGATAACAAACTAAGGATAAATGATGTAAAAACACTGTCTACCAGGTTTACTTCATCTAATATATTTATCATTATAAAAATTGTTCTGTTCTCGTATGAATGCACAGTACCTGGAATGCTTCATTTCTTTAACTTAAAATAGTCTTTATAATTGAGTCTCATTAGTACTTAAGACCAATTATATGCTGAGGGGAAGGATTTATTTCAAGTATATTTACCAGTTAGACATAGTGTTTGAATCTTCACAAATTCTAAACGTGTGTGGAGAGAGGAGGGTGAAGAGTCTGAACTTGACTGCTCAGGTAAACACTTTCTTTGACTCACATTTGGAATTGCTGTGCTTCAGACCCTTTTTAAAAATTTTCCCATTTGAAGAAAATTATACATTTAGCTTTTAACTGAAAAAAAACAAAAACAAAAACAACCCTCATTCCACACCCCACCCCCAGTCTTCTTAAAACAAATCAGAAGGCTTAAGAATTAGCTCCAATAATAATCCTATAGTGGTCATCAGGAAATCCTCCTCCAAAATGACAACTGCAGCTAAGAAGGACGAAATTAACTAGGAATAAAAACTACCCAAATGAATCCTTCCCCAAGAGGTGGGTAATGCACATCTGGAACAACTGGTAACACAACCAACTCGAGATGACCCAGAGGAAGATGCTGCGTCAAGAACAGCAAAGCAAAGAAGCGCGACTCGGGAGTCTTGTAGAATCGCCACCGATTTCCCAAAGAGGTAGAGAGCAGCAGAGTTGAGTCGTCAGGCGCTGGTAACAGCGCACTACAGCTCTCAGGGCAATTCTCCATTCCAAATCCCGGAGTTCCGGGGCAGGAGGAAAAAGGGGGACAGGAGACCCAAGTCCCTTTAAACTGCACCCCCCTCCCCCGTGCCTGCCAACCTTTTCCGAACCCCCATGTCACACAACTTCCTCATCATGGAAACTTCCACTCGGTTGGGC